TGGTTTCTTCAAAAGTGGAGTTATTGAAGCAACAGCTGAGAGAGCTCCATTTACATTTAGCCGCTGCCTCTTATAATTGAGAAAGTCACTAATCCGGTCTACGATTTTATGGTCGATTGCGAAACGTTCCAGTTATAATTTAAGTCTCAGATAAGAGGCACTGTTGGTCTACTTAGATCTAAGAAAATTATATTTACAGGAATATTTCTGTGCTTTGCTGCAACCCAATTATCTCTTTCATTGAACAGATTTGTTGAGCGTGATTAGACTAACGGGGTGGTAGTTATTTACTGTCTCTGTTTTCCGCCTTATACACCGAACCGATTACTGAGTATTTCCAGTTTCTTGGCCGTATGGACTACCGAAAAGACATATAGGTTCAGCAGTTGCATCCTACAGAGCTTTCATAGTCCTAGGATAAATATCGTCGGAACCACTGAACTTATCTGGTTTGAGATCTTAGAATACTCTTAAGACAATTCTTATTATTTTCACTCCATAGACGAATGTCCTCTGAAATAAAAGCATCAGCCAGGAAGATTGGGCTATGATAAATGACATCGAGTATAAATGAAAAAAATCGGACGGTGAGTTTACGGCTAAAGACCTCACTAGTTCCACTGCCACTGCATTTACAAGCAAAGGAAGGGACGTTAATATTATTATTCATGTATATAAAGACACAACTTCATTTCTAGCACCTATTTCTATCACTTCTTAGGTAGTGGTATCCGGATAGTTCAGGAGTAGCAATGAAGTTGTGGACTAATTAGGTTTCGGTCACAGGTACAATGAGTGGCTTTATGTTGACCATTAATGCTCCTAGTTCATAGAATGCATTTCTTAGGTCATGAGCATTTGCATATAAACTTCCATAGAGAACGACCTATCCACAAAAGCCTTGGGAGCATACGCTTTCAAGAACTAACCATTCGAAAACCCGTTGAGAGGAGATTTTCTTCATCATTTTGTCGAATAAATACTCCGAACTTTTTCAAATCATGCGCACGTCTAATATTTGGATCAGAGTTGTTTGATTCTCGCGTTACAGGTGCAGCCACCACCACTCTTAATGAAAGTTATGGCCAGAAGGCTCACAGCCTCCTTGGTTAGTTATGTCATGCCTGAACAGCAAAACATACAAAGCCAATCCGAGATAGGCTTGGAGCACATTTTGTATGCCGTGGGGCTTAAACGGGCACATTTCTTATGGGACTACCTTTTACACTCATCACATTGTGTTCCTCCTTCCACTAGCAGAGAAAAATTTCGTTATTCTTACATATAAGTACTGCCGACCATTTTAAATGGATTTATAGGGTTAGAAATCCACAAGGTACACAATATGATTACAAGTATCAGCGTCCACTAGAAAAAGTACCACAAAACGGATATAAGAAAATATCAAACCTTAACCAAAATAATTCATATTAAAGTAAGCCAAGCAACAAATACATAAAAGGAAGGTTAAATCATAGTAAGTGCCAAAGGCTTCAATTAAATTCAACTTGATTCCGTACTTGTGGCACTCTGCTTAGCGACCGATCAAAATGGAGCGGGAATCATCATGTCCACCATCTTTGTAAGTAATGCCGGTCGACCTTCTTCGTTCTATTTTTTTCCGCTGTTTCTTTGGTGTAGCTGCATAATTTATTGTTTCGGTGTGCTGAAATTCCGTGGTTAATTCGAGCAAACTTTTTTTGAATCAGCTTTGTTCTCCCGGTCTTTCGCGCTGCTACTTAAGTTAATGTATTCCTTCAAGCAATCTCGCTTGTTTATGTTTTAAAATGTTAATCCGTTTTGTTTTGAGTATTATTATTTAGATATTGAAAATCGATGTTAATTTTTTGGCTAAACTGAGTGTTGCTGCCGTCTGAAACTTTAACTGTCCGTACGTTCATTCTTTTGGAACAGTTATAACTTATTTATGATGTTATCGGGAGCAATAAAAGGAAACGATCTTCTGTTTGTTATTTTTTTTAGTATTAAGGACAATCCTATCGCGTCAATGAGTTAAAATAGTACCGAGTACCCAGTAGTAGTGGATATTAGTAATGCTTTTGAAAGGATTATGAGACCCAGGCACCTGAAAACCAGAGTTGCTATCGATCTATTGTAGAAGCTTTGTTATTAAAAATATATACCATATAGAAGTAATAGATGAATTCGATTCATCACGTCGTGCGTGAAAGCAAGCTTAACATTGAGAAGCTACCAGTATGTACCATATGTTTGCTGTTTTGGCCAAACAAAGGAAGCCGGAGGGTCATGGTCAGGGAGTTAAAGGGCAATTAACAGTTATTACACCCGCTTTTTATCGATCAAAGCCTATCGGTTGCTAGGTCATGTTCTTTGCGACATGGTGTCAGACGGTACATAATCGCTTCATCCAAGATGTTCCACAACCACCCTTGCGATGAGAAGTACTTGCAAATTTCCGCTTTTCTTATTCGAGTAATTTTTAGACAACTGTCTCCCAGTCTGAGCGCTTCCCACGCCCTGGGGAACTCGATTTCGATAACATTCACAGTACCTCCATAAATTTCTCATACATTAAGTCCACTCGTTCTTTCAAAACAGACCATAAAGACTTCATAACTGCACCTGTATAGCTAAAATCCGTATTCTGTACTTCACGTACTCGATGAACACAAGTCGTGCCATGTGTATCTTCCGTATATATTCATTTTCACTCCCACTTTCAACTGCTATGTTTTGCTTTTGAAAAATAAAATCGTTGTATTCAGTAAGTGCAAACTTATTTGCTGTGATGGAGATAAGAGAGGTCATGACATGTTTAACAGGACTGTAGTAATATTTTCACTAAAAAGCCAAGCTAGCGCGTAGTCAAGTGTACGGTACCATACAGGGTACCCTTATGTTTCCAGTGTTTCATTAGTGTGGGTAACGGCACTTCTTGCATATCATAGGGCAGCTGAGTACGTAAATTTGAGATTAGACGCAGGGATGGTTAGGATATGCGTAACGCCAGTTCATCTATGAACTGCCATGGCACGTCATGGCGGCTGGAATAAGTTGTAAGAAGGCTTGAGTCTGTAGGTTTTCCAAGAAAATAACGAAGATGTGTACTATATGACTTTAATATCAACTAGGTGTTAAGAGGCTCGTGTTTCGCGGATTTCTTACTACTGTTAACTTGATAAATCAAAATAACATCAGATTTACGATGGAATATTAAACATAATTCACACTAGATTTCTATTTAGAACTCGCATCGGTAATGCAAAGCTGTATCCCTTGTTATTTTTTAAAACTAAAGGTTAAAGTAGCTCATAGATATTGGAAGTGGTTGTGAAACCAAAGTGGACGTCTAGCATGGTTTTAATAAGCTATGGAGAATCTGCCGTTAGTTGATTCTTCCATAAACATTTTCAAAAGGCCGGAGTTCTAACGACGAAACAGTTGTAAGATCTGTAAAGACTCACTCCTATTGCATTCTAAATGAAAAATATTAATGGCTTTAGTGAAAAGGGCGGCACAGGTGAATGAACAAATTACATGTTTACAAGCAAAAAATTTACGAAGCTTTTGTTTACCCCAATTTCATGAATATTAGTTTAAGACTAGGTCAGCCACTAAAACCTGTGCAAAGTGTAGTAATGCACAGCTTTTATTATTTTACTTCCATTTAAGTATTTAAATGTATCTGCATTTGGTTTTAAGGGAAGATATGCAAGTAGAGTTGTCTGAAAAACTGAAATTCTCAGTTGTCAGAAGAGATTTCTGTTATTTGTCTGCGGCCAGCTGCATTTAATTAAGACGTAGAACACTCCTCATCCAGGACGGTATACTGCTGTTTTGCAGGAAAGTAGAAACACAAACACTTATTTATCCTCCAGTCGATGTTAACTCTGGTGAAATTGTTTAATGGTGGTGATCTTGAAATGTGGTCAGAGCTAGGCGTACAGTCTACAAACAAACATCAAGCACAATTATCACTTTTTCGAAGTGAATACTGTCTTATAATACACGACAACAACAGCATTCAAGGTAATTTCTTCTCATTTGCAAGCAGACTGGTTTGAATAAGTATACTCAATAAAATCAGGCTGACATGGGAGTCGCTGCAATTTGTCGTTTTTATTAAAGGCTAAGTTTTTATAATGGGCTCATATTGTGGTGCGTGCTACTTATATTGATATAAGCAGTATATAAAAGAACGTCATGTCTGGCGGCAGAAGATGGGGAAGATCAAGAAAGGAAGAGCGAGAACACAATGGAATTTGTAAGAAATCGCATGAACAATAAAATGTGCGACAAGGGATTGATGTTGGCAACGGCAACAGTCCTGTTTGATATGATGGAATGATATTTTGCAAATTAACGATTTACTATATGCTTTTTCTGTTTTACCAAGCAACTCTGTAATTTTGTTCTAAATACAATTCGGTTGTCCTCACCTGTGTTCTCCTTCACTGCAATATCACCACTATCTTAAGTGTAACTTATTGACAAAGTGTTAGGTTTTATGGGAATATGATCAATATATCATTCCTCCTGTTCTACACATATTCTAAGCTCTCGACCTCAGCTTTCTGGAGCGATATACTCTGCAATGCATACATAGTTTTGCACTGATTATTTTCTAGTTGCGACACATAGGAGTGCTAACGGATATGAGTGAGCAGTTCTACTTACTAAACTGATATGCTTCACTATATGTTCAAGCACTATACTTCCGTATAATTAGATCGATCTAAGTTAATTATACGTGAACCAAGAATATTAAATTAAACAGGCGCCATAATTATCATTTCATTTGCACAGAAATGTTACTCAAACTAGTTAAATGTAGACAGTTAAGCCTATAGACCCAAAACACGAACTATAGGTTAAAAATTGATAATTAGAAAGAACCCCTGAGACACGCAAAGGCATAGTTAAATAGATTGGAGCAAGGCGTTTCGTTTCTTTTTACGAAGCGAAAATTCTTGATGTCAAATCCGAATATTTGTTTGGCTTCACTAACTAATTTCATTACTTGCCTTGAGGCAAACAACTTAATATGACTTGAAGGCCGTCGACCAAAGGGGAAGTTGAGCTGGTCCTTTATTTTTAAAGTATATTCCTAGAGTAAGTGCAAAGAACCTCTTTTAGGGTAATATGAGGGCAACTTAAATTGAATTTCGCTAATCTGTTATTATATACCACCAAAATCATATCCCGCTGCTAAACAATGTTTCTGTTCTCAGTCATAATTCCAGACATAAGTTCACTTAAACTTTCTGGAGAATAAGTTCTATGTATCCCATCTTTTCTGCGGAAAGTACAGTTCATTTTGTGTTATAGGGTTCAATATGTTGACCAGTTCCTTAAGGAAGTCCCTATTGGGACTGGTCATGCTAGGTTATACTGACCAAACTATGAGTTTTAAAATGACCATGCATTTTATGCTTTTTATACACAACAGACAGCGCACTTCGGATAAACTAACAATTTCGTTGGGTAAAAATCGTTATTTATCATGTAATTAAACTGTCGTCTACAATGGGTGTCCAGATGTCTTCAAGATGTGGTTTGCGCCAGCAAAGTAGTTACAAACCAGTGGTTTACTATCTAGATTCGAATATTAAAATCCGGTTGATAGGGCTTGGTTTATAATACGTGTGTAACGTTGTGTGCTGTGTGAAGCATCCGAAACAGCCTTAGATTTGTATCATGTACCCTTGTGATTTAACTTGAGATAAATAATAGATATTCATGTGATTTGAATATGATTTAGTTCTGTACTTACGAAGTGTTAACAAACGTTTGTTGGCCGCGGTGATGTACTCTGTTCTAAAATAAATTCTCTCCAAGAATAAATGCTTTTTGGAAGAGTAGACCTTTGAGGGAAATCATGTTAATTCATCAGGGTGGATTTTATGAAAATGTAGGTTTGCCCTCGAACTAGGGAAAAGTGTGGCTTAAAGTCAGGTTTTACCCGAATTTACACCACAAGTTTCCTACAGTATTGGCTGTTTCCGGTATATCTATTGTTAGGATGATTATCATCAAAAATCCATGTCACTCAAAAGCTTAGATATCAAAAGTACATAATTTTTTCTTTGCCCTAACCATTTCTCCATACTAATTACCTGTGTAACAATAAGGCTAGTAAATTCTATCACTCTCGGTAGCCATACCAAATCTTGCATCAGTAGGCTGGTAATTGCAGTTCTAGTTTATTATCACCCTAATGTATCATTCCTATACTCTGTTTACCTGAAAGCGTTAATTATTGTAATATTTTAATCGTTCTGTCAATTACCACCATAATCTTACATCTCTTTTAACTTATTTCCTAGTTGTCGCTTTCAATCATGGGTAGTACAAATAGTCGTATTGAAACAGATTTAAATCCAATAAAAACGTATACAGGATTTGAAAACCATGTAAATAATCTGTTTTCTCGTTATCTAACTTCCGTATAGGATAATGAACTAGTTATTTCCAAGGAATCATTTCGAGTTCGTCCATCGTTTTCTTTATTTGAATTTTGTACTTGTGTGTAGAATAAGTTTGACCTCTGTTTCTATGATTTGGCCGATCTTTTATGGGATAATTTCAAAGGTGATCGTAATTCCAATGATGAATTCCTGGTTCTCAGAAAATATCAAAGCATAATTGAATACTTGTCTTCTGCTCAGGATAAACTGGAGATATTTCTAAGTTTGTTTAAGCTACGTGCACTAAGTGAATCAGGTAATTAGCAAATTACTTATTTTCACAAAATTTCAAGATGTTAAAGCATTATTTAAGTGGTTCTTGCTGGGAAGAGATTTGAAACCAGACACGTGGCAATTAATAATTACTTCTATCTTGTCCTCAGTAAGTCCTTTTAATTATACGAATTCTGTATTGTTATACTTTATTAGTTATTGGTCTAATCCCTTTCCTTTTGATGTGATAAGATGTTTATCAGGTGAAACTAGTTATGTGCACACCATTGAAGGCATCCAAGGCTTGTATAAAGCGTTCTAAATTACTCGGGTAGGAAATGGCTTGTTAACATGCAATTACAGTCTTTTTATACTAATCTTATCAGATATGATCTTTCAGATTCACTAGTGATATTGCCTCAAAACACTGCGTAATTTTTCTGACTGCATGCTATTACAATAATTAGAGTTGACGAAACCTAATTATTATCGGAAGGGGTTTTTGTGGAGATTGTAGTAATTTAATAGTTGAGTTCATGAGTCACTTAAAGCTAGACCACCATGGAAAACCTGGAAGTACTGGACGACCGTTTTTATCCTATCATGTGACTCCTCAGCAGTGCGCATCCACGATCCCGTGACCAGTGGAGTTAAACCGGGTTTGTAGTAAGATAGCAACTCACTGAAGACAATGGTGGACGGCGGCGCAATATCGTGGATTGGTTGAACTTAAACATTAACACCATTCGATGTCGGCTCAGTGGTCTAGATGTTAAGCGCTCGCGCGCGAGACTGAAGATCTTGGGTTTGAATTCTGCGAGCGGGATCGTGGATGCGCACTTGTGGGAAGCAATTTCTTACAGGTTTAATTCTGAGTTATTCCCTAGACCGTCGAATACAGAGTCTTGGTTTGTCCAAAGTCAGAACAAGCAAGCTATTTGGCTAGACAAACTTTATCTGTTTCTAAAACATAAAATAACATCGTTAGTGTTCAAACAAGCAGTACGGTCTATTAATACAGGGAAAAACGGAGACAAATAACATACCGAACAGTAGCCAGAGAATAGGAAAAATGAGTCAACAAAGCAAATATTGTTTTACAATGAACATCAAACTGCGATTGGTTAATAAAGAGATACAGTCGTACAAGGTCAAAGGGAGTTAATGTGGTGGTGGGCGTTTCACTTTATTATTGGTGGGTTCGTCTATCGATCACATTTTACAGCACTGCTGAGGAGTCCCATACTAGGACGAAACGGTCGTCCAGTGCTTCCAGGTTTTCCATGGCCCGACCGAAGCTGCTACCTTGACGCGGTGGTCGGGCTTGCCTATCGTGATGACCCAACTGAGCTATATTGGCTGGAACATATGTTCCTGTAGGTTCTACCATGCCAGGCAGGTCGATTGGTGAACGGTAAGACTTAAAGCAGCAACTCAAGGTCTGAGGGCGAAGTCGTACTGCTGACTGTAGAGGGGTGTGACAGCAGTAAGGTGTTTCCTTCGGACAACCAGCATGACAGCGATGCTGCCTTCCCACAAGGAGGGGTGGGGTTAGAAAAGGTCGACCCTAAAAATGTCACACCTCACCTTACCTCACGGATTTCCGTCTCCGGCGGTAAGGCCCTTTGAAGAACGGAGCTAACACGTCAAAAACCTTCCACAAAAAACCCGTGCGCGACCGGCCTCAAGCAGTTGTCCCTTGGGCTCTGCGGTCACGCTCCCAGGTCATTAAGACCAACACTAATCCAATTTCCTTTTCAGGTTCCTCAAGAAATACCCTTCCACGGTGTGGGCAGCCGGGAAGTGACATCAGCCTTCATACCGGTAACAGCACACGAGACCAAGTTGGTCACATTCAAATCCTTCCTACACCTCCTAATACCTCTCTTATCTCCATGACTAACCCTCCTCACGTCTCTTTATCACCTCGCGCCGCTAGGGCAAACGATTCGAGTACGTGGAACGCTATTCCTGGTCTCCTGAAACCACGCTCTAAACTACTCGTAGGAGCTTTTAACGTACGAACACTGTGCCAAATAGGACAGCAGGCTTCCTTAGCTAGGACTTTAGAATCTCGCGCCATCGATGTGTGCTGCGTCTCCGAAACGCGCATACAGGATCCGAGTAGCGTCATTCATTTGACATCACCATGTCAAAGTGCCGAACCAACTCGATTCACACTTCGTGTATCTGGAAACCCTGATTCTGCTTTCCGTGGCTTCGCCGGCGTAGGCATAGCATTGAGTCCTAGGGTAGATTTAGCTCTCTTAGAGTGGATCCCGGTAGACAGTCGTTTGTGCGCTGTCCGACTGAACGGAACAGTAAGAATCCGGAAAGATAGGGACACTCGTCGTTGCCTCTTCGTCGTTTCTGCCTATTCTCCCACTGACTGCAGCTTAGATGATGTAAAAGATGAGTTTTACAGAAAGCTTTCGGACCTTCTCCGAAAAGCTAAGCGCTCGGATGTAGTATTGGTGGCCGGTGACTTTAATGCTCAAGTAGGTAAACTAAGCGATAGGGAAAGACACCTAGGTGGATCTTATGGTGTCGTGGCTCAAAGAACAGATAATGGCGACCGTCTGTTGCAGCTATGCTCAGATAACCGCCTGTTTCTTGCAAATACTAACTTTAAGCATAAGCAAAAACATCTTTTAACATGGAGACCCCCTAATTCGTCCCAACGTTGGACCCAAATAGATCACATCGCTATCAGCCACCGATGGAGGGGCTCGATAGAAGACTGTCGCTCACTCTGGAGCACATGCTTAGATTCAGATCATGCTCTAGTGCGAGTGCGTATTTGCTTGCGTCTTACTGGACGTAGGAAAGACGCTGCAAGGAAACCTCTTAGGGGGCTACTTAATGATAGTCAAGCTAAGAGTATATTTCAGGAACAACTAGGAAAACAGTTAGGCAGCCATGTATGTGATGCCCACCCCGATGCAGCATGAGACGATATCCGAAAAGCTGTGGAAACAGCAGTGATATCTGCTAGTACTGTAAACCAGAAGGTTAGGGAGAAACACTGGATCTCAGCAGCATCTACCGCACTGGTAGATGCTCGACAACTCAGTCCATCTGGATCTGAACATAACGAAGAGCGGAGTCAGCTTAAGAGCAGGCTGATATGAAGCCTACGCAATGGTCGTGAACAATAGTAGGTAGCGAAAGCAAGAGAGATGGAAAAGGCAGCGGCAATAGGTAATAGCAGATATTTGTTCAGACTCGTTAAGAAAACCGGAATTAGGAACCCGACCGTTAGCGAAACAATCTCAGAGAAAGATGGACATATTATTCATTCTCAATCCAGGAGATTGGATCGATGGGCAGAACACTTTAGGGATCAGTTCAACTGGCCTTCAGCCACACTTCGGTTTCCCACGATCTCTAGTCAACCTGAATGGCAAGTTAATGTAGGTCCTCCGTCCCTTTACGAAGTTGAAAAAGCCATAGGAAATCTGAAACGAGGGAGAGCAGCAGGCCCTGACAGGTTTACTCCTGAGATTTTTAAGGATGGTGGTCCAGTATTAGCAATGAGATTAACTGAGGTCTTAGGTAGAGTTTGGGAACTGGACGTAATCCCATCTGACTGGTCTCAATCACTGATTGTGCCAGTCTATAAGAAAGGACAAAAGTCCTCTTGTGACAATCACAGAGGAATCAGTTTGACTAATATAGTGTCTAAAATGTTAGCTTCAATAATACTTCGACGCTTAATCAAAGCTCGTGAAGAGCAGATTAGAGAAAACCAGGCCGGTTTTCGACCTGGACGTGGTTGTATAGATCAGATATTCATACTACGTCAGGTTCTAGAACACAGACACACATTCAGACGCCCTACAATGGTAGTATTTCTCGACCTTAAGGCGGCATTCGACTCTGTTGATCGTGAGGTTCTATGGCAGTGTTTGTCACTGAAAGGAGTACCAAAGAAGTACATTAACCTTATAAAGGCTCTCTACTCGAACACAACTGGTCGAGTGAGAGCTTATGGCGAACTGTCATCAGAATTGATCACCTCAAGTGGTGTTCGTCAGGGCTGTCCACTCTCCCCATTCTTGTTCAACTTTGTCATTGACGTACTTTTAGAGATAACACTTTCATCTAAATTTCCAGGGGTCGAACTTCTGCCGGGAGGTTCACTTGTTGACTTAGAATATGCAGATGACATAGTTTTATTTGGCGAAGACGCTGACAAAATGCAGAGTCTCCTGACCACTCTAAGCAACAATGCAAGCATGTTCGGGATGCGATTCTCTCCCTCGAAATGCAAAATGTTGCTTCAGGATTGGGTTACATCGACACCCGAAATAGTGATAGGGAGTGAAGTAATTGAGTGTGTCGACCGCTTCACTTATCTTGGAAGTCTGATCAGCCCTTGTGGTTTGGTGTGTGACGAAATCTCAGCACGGATACAGAAGGCTCGACTAGCTTTCGCCAACTTGCCTCATTTATGGCGTAGGCGAGATATCCGTCTATCAACCAAAGGACGCGTTTACTGCGCAGCAGTTCGTTCCGTCCTGCTTTATGATAATGAAACAGGGCCGGTAAGAGTAGAGGATATTCGTAGGTTACTTGTATTTGATCATAGGTAACTTCGAAATATTGCTCGTATATCCTGGGACCATCGAGTAAGTAACACAGTTGTTAGGAAACGGGTACTAGGTAAGGATGGCAAATCAATTGATGAAGTAGTGAAACTTCATGAGTTGAGATGGCTGGGACATGTGTTATGTATGCCCAACCACCGACTACCTCGATGTGTGATGTTTTGTTGTATAGGAGTAGATTGGAAGAAAGCTAGGGGCGGCCAAACCAAAACATGGCACAAGTCCATGACAAGTGGACTGAGTCATATTGGTAGGTGTAGACTACCTGGTTGGGGACCGCGAGATGATAGCAACCGATGGTTAGAGACCTTGAATGACATGGCTCAAGGTCGTTTGCAATGGCGCAGGTGCATACACTCTTTGTGTTCTCCCAAATTCTAATCTTCTGAATTCTTCATGTCCCTTTCTTTTTTCTCTTTCCAAACTTATTCCACTGCATTATACTCCTTGAATAACATCTTCAAACCCTAATTTTCCTGATTACAGCTTATAATTTTACTACATCTAGCACTACGGGATTTGAGTCGACCACTGCATCTCTGTGCTAATGTGGTGTGACAACTCGAACTGATGTAGGTACGTACGAAGTTCTACGTTGTTACTGACTGACTGACTGACTTAGGTTTTCCATGGTGGTCTAGCTTTAACTGGCTCATGAAACTTAATTAGTTTGTTGTTAGTGCTATTTCACATACTTTTCTTACTGCATACGGACACTGTAGTAAACTAAGTGGGTTACATGTACAAAACTAAGTTGGAGATTACTATAAGTTATAAACCACGTTTCATGGGAAGATACAATATTTTCATCGTTAGGATAATGTTTTAAAGTCCGCTTGGTTAACAAGTGGATGAACTGTAAAGTTTGTGCGACAAATGTTTCAAAGGTTGTTTATTAGATTATTTTTCGAAATAAATAACATGCTATTTTTCAGCATAAAATTGAAGTGATAGTTAATAAACTAAACATTGCTAGCGTGCTGCTTGTTTTTTAAATTTTATTTTCTCGATAGTTTGAATTCTTGACAAATTGTACTCTTTACAGCATCTTCCATCTCTGAGTTAGTTTTGTCACAAGCTGGGATCACTATCGTATCACCAAATATTGGTGATATATTTGAAATTCCCTTGGCAACGTGTAAGTAATCTTTCCTCTAAGCAAATCAGTCATTTAAGGCTTCTCGGATATTCAGTATATTAAGAATTTCACCACCGATCAATGCTAGAAGTTCCCAGCTGTTTCTGTTATTTTGTATAGATATATCAATTATCTTTTTCATGCCATTACTTTATAGTATAAACGGTGAAACTATAATTTATGGGTTAACTTGGAGTGACACTAAGGTGACCTTGAAAATATCCATCTACTAATTAAGGTTAAATGAGGGTTATAAATCAGTGTGGGGAATCAGATTTATAATTTACTGTTGGTGGTTAGCGTTAGGAGTTAGACTTAGGGTTTTTATCACAAACTGACATTAGCTAAAATGCCAAAGAGCTATTTAACCAAATAGATAAATAAGTTCCACGTCAAAATCCAAGACCTGTTGTCCTAAATCTGATTGGTTCGTCCATAAATTATAGTCTCGCCTCATAAACGATGTCTAGTGAATCGTATTCTGTGATCCATATATTATTAGTCTAGAACGTCGCACCTTAAAAATCTTCAGTTTGAATTCCTTTTGGTCGCTTTATTCTTATTTCATAAAATTAGGTTTTCAAATCCTAGTCTAGATTAAACGTATATTTATTTATAAGCATTATTTATCTCAACAGTAACTCTAATTTTGATATTTCGTTAGTTGACGAGATTTTACAATTCTTTTCATATTGAAAGCTTTTGTGTATTTCGAAAATGTCGAGTTGTTTTCAGAAACATTTACATCTTTTGAGCACATAGATATACTTAAAATGTATTTCAACACTTTAAGTTAAAGTTAAATATTTGTTTCATATGCTTGTACTCATGGAGAAAAAGATCTGTTCTAGTATAGTAAATGAGAACACCAATGGGGACAATTAAATGTATGCAAATAAAAAATTACAGAATCTCGTATTAAAATCTAGGGACCGAACAGTAAATACTTCATTTGCAAAATGTCCATCAACTGTCTCAGACTTTGCCGTTCTTTCGTTTCTATATTAATCGCTTTCTGTTCTCGTTCTCTTCTCTTCGGTTTTCTTAAATTTCTGCCGCCAGGCATTCCACTTTCGATTGGTGATACATACTACTTATATCTGTTGACATCAGTAACACACGCCACTCTAGTAATCGAACTGTATTTAAGCAACCATTAGTTTGTTTAGTCGTACAGGCAATCAAAACATTCAATCATATGTACGCAAAAATGTGCACGTTTATGAGTTCGGAAACTATATATTATAATGGATACAAAGATAATCAATAGAACTCAGGTTGACTCATTCAACTGCCAACTAACTATCCAGTATTTCATAAAATGTACTGGTTTGTTTCACAAATTTATCGAAAATCCGTTTTTAAAGTTTTTAGTTTTATATTATTCATCTTTTATCCTAAGTTATTCTACTTGTTAGTTTATCTGATTTCCTACAACATAATTTACTTACAATTGGGAAGTGACTTTTGTTTGGCCGTCATCATCTGAGTATTCCTAGCACCCTTGTATAATACACCTAAATCATAAACGTTGAAGGATTCACTTTCCCAATTAACATTCATAATTTCAGTTTGTTACTATCTAGATACCCTAGAGTCAAAATTAATGTAGTTTCACAGGGGCATTGATTCGAATTTTACGTTACATTTCATATGTTTTTAGGGTCTATCACCGCTTCGAATCTGGCGATTTGTGAAAATTCGTCCAATTTAGAGATATTTTTCATCATGGACCAGTATTAAGTGGAAAAACGTCATAGAAACCTGAAGTATACTAACAACTGACTGGATAATTTTATACAGAAAAGGAAGTAGTCGTGTGATGTAAATCACTGGATTTAAATAATTTAATTAGAAGGTGATGTAGTCACTGTGAACAGTATAGGTTTTCACTTTACTGCTATATAAAATTCAAGGCGTAGAGTGATCATACGTTTCAAATTTTGACATGTCCTGTTGATGAAAGCTACCGTAGAGTTTATCAATTTAACGCATAGTATTTTGCAGTAAATTACTTACTCCGTATTATACGATAATCATTTATCATACTAGTGTATGTACTTTAAACAAGTCATTTTCCTTGGTTAAATCGTTAATCTTTTTGATTTTCTTTTTAATCCTGTTTTCTCAGGATGAAAATGGTACATACAAGCATCACACAATTGTCAGCTGTTTGAATCGCTTATGTCCAGATATTTGTAATGACTTAGTCAATATACTTTTACAACTCTTAAAGGATAATCATTCATTTAATTTGGTAAGGTGCAGAAACAAATATATATGTATATATATTTACCTGTTCATTTAAACCATTATTATTTCCTAGACAGATTTCAACCCTTATTCACTTTCCGGAACAATATTAACGTCGGATCTCCAGTGGTTGTTCTCTACTTTTCTCACTTATCCATACAAACGTGCACCGAAAACGTGTCTACTTCAAACAACACCATTAGAATGTGTATGTATATTATTCTGACCGACTAGTGCATATACATAATAATGCATATTTCAGGAGCAGTTGTCACATTTACATTGTTTGTATGACAGTACGAATCATGGGATGAGTTTGACCAGGTAATTACTTCGGTATTGTGTTGTGGATTCTTAAATATTATGCTGAGTTTTTTATCGATCTCATCAACAAAGGTCTTGTTAATTCACAGTTACAATAACATTATGTATTTATGCGTTTTTAACTACTCTATATCCATTTTCTCAGCTGTTTTAAGATACTAGCTTATGTTATTATCATATACTTAACCAAAAACTGGAGTATTCGGTCTTCTGGTCAAAACCAAACAATCGATATGGTGTAAAATGATGTCAAGCTACCCGAAAACCATGGTCAAGGAATGCCATCCATGATCACTTATCTTCAAGTATGAACTTGGTATCTAGGATGTTGTGCACCATAATTTGTGATTTGCTTTTTGTATAGAGCAAAGATGGTATTTTTCAAACAACTATCTGGTTGTGCCAGTATTTTTGATCATATTCGGGTGGATCATGTAACTTGTCTGGCTAAAACTGATGGCGATGAAGAATAGTTACTTTTGTCTGGTGACGGATTTAGTATGAGATGAAAGGAATAAATTCAACTGCCGTCTTTTAGTTTTCTCATTCACAATTTTTCTTCTAGATATTTGTTTTCATGTCAATCATCTGGTTTTAACAACTACTTATCTATTTAGCCTAACTTCGTTATTTCAAGTTTGTACCCTTTTGTGGACCTATAAATAATGTCTCTGTTATTCTTACAGTTTTTTTTCAGTCTGAGGAAAAGATACATTACTGAGTTTTGTTTCTTACAATAAAATGGCTTGGACATAAACAAATATTAACAAACGAGGTTGATTACTGTTTGTTTCTAGTGAATTAACATGCATAAGGTATATTTTCATTTGATATCCAGCTCAAATTTAGCTAGGAAAAAGAGGTAAAATGAACTTGAGGTATATGCGTTAATCAGAGAAATCAGTTTTATGAAGCTAATATTCAGTGATTTGGCCTTATTTTCGACTTATCCTTGCTAAGTATTAGATATACCATTTAGCCTAAATCTTTCAGTGTTGAATGACATTAAAATTCACTTGTTTTTTGAGAATGTCTGGACTGTGAGAGCTCTATTTACGAAAGGTTTTTTAAATGTGAATCGTTCCACGATCCTTCTTATTGTCGTAAAACAACAAAATAACACTCACAAGTGCTAATTCATTCAAAGTTTTTAACTACTGCCATAAGGGTATGACTAAATGGAAGGACAATAATGTTTCCAGTATATTCGTATTCGTGATATCATCCCGTGTAATTTCTTAAGGTTGCTACTATCATTGTACATGATCAAAACTCCTGCCTTAACCATTTATGTGTAGATGAGATTTCTAAATTTGCTGAAATCACGTTTAAAAAGCGAACACAATACAGCTATCATATTCAGTTAACCGATTTATATAATTGCTGAATACAAGTATAATCGATATACATTCACTACTGGAATTTCATTTCTCAATGTAAAATTATGAATTTGTTTATTTTCTGCTATTAAATGCCATTTCAGAAACAGTAGCTATCATTAATATATAATTAAATAGTATAGTTTCGCTAATCTAGTACCATGAAAGTCCAATCACTTGTGCTTGCTCTGTTTGGCTTTTATTATGTTATACTTACTTGATATGATAAATTACTTACTTACTCCTGTTACTCCTCGTGAAGGAGCATAGGCCGCTCACCAGCATTCTCCATCCAAACCTGTCCTGGGCAATCCTTTCCAGCTCCTTCCAGTTGTTATTCATCTTTTTCATATCTGCTTATATTTCCCGACGTAATGTGTTCTTTGGCCTTCTTCTTTTCCGCTTCCCTTCAGGATTCCAAGTTAGGGCTTGTCTCGTGATGCAGTTTGACGATTTGCGTAATGTATGTCCTATCCATTTCCATCGTCTTTTCCGAATTTCTTCTTCAGCTGGAAGCTGATTTGTTCTCTCCCAGAGAAGGCTGTTGTTGATGGTATCCGGCCAATGGATGTTGAGTATCCTGCGTAGACAACTATTTATAAATACTTGTACATGTTTGATGATGGTTGTAGTAGTTCTCCAAGTTTCAGCTCCATACAGTAGAACTGACTGCCTTGAAGTTCTTATTGAAGATTCTGTCTTTGATATTAGTCGAAAGTTGTTTTGAGTTCCATATGTTCTTCCATTGTAGGAATGCGGCCCTTGATTTGCCAATCCTCGCCTTTACGTCTGCATCTGATCCTCCTTGTTCATCGATGATGCTTCCCAGGTATGTGAAGGATTCTACATCTTCCATAGTTTCGCCATTAAGAGTGGATTGCTGTTCCTGTAAGGCTTGGAACCTGTTGTTGAGAGCTATCTTGAATTCATTGTTTGTCAGTATCTCGAAGGAAGGCTGTATTGAACAGTTGTAGTGTTGTTTGTTCAGTCCTTCTTTAGCTTCAGTTTCAAATTGGCCACAACTAGGTGGTGATCTGAAGCTATGTCAGCTCCTCTCTTGGTTCTCACATCTTCCATTGTCCTTCGGAACTTCTTATTGATGCAAATGTGATCTATCTGGTTCTCTGTGGTGTGGTCCGGTGAGATCCATGTAGCTTTGTGTATACGTTTGTGTGGGAATATTGTGCCGCCTACGACCGATTTGTTGATTGCACACAGATTTACAAATCTTTCTCCATTTTCGTTTCTCTGTCCCAGTCCATGTCGTCCCATGATATCTTCATATCCGGCGTTGTCTATTCCGATTTTGGCATTTAGATCTCCCATCAGAATGGTGAGGTCGTTTCTTGGGCACTTCTCGACGATTGACTGTAGCCGCTCGTAGAACTGATCTTTAATGTCGTCGTTGCTATCATTGGTGGGTGCATAACATTAAATAATGTTCATTGTGATCCCCTCTTTTGTTTTGAATGATGCTTTGCTGATTCTGAATCCGTGAGATTCCCATCCTAAAAGTGCATTTCGTGCTACTTTGGACAGCATTAGAGCAACTCCCTGAGTGTGTGGAGCATTTTCCTCTTCTTGACCGGAGTTTAGCAGCATCTCTCCCGTATTTAGCCTTTGATGTCCAGCTTGGGTCCGATGGGTTTCGCTGATTCCCAGTACTGCCAAGTTGTATCTCCTCATTTCCGTTGCTATTTGACTGGTCTTCCAGGTCTCCCACATTGTCCGTACGTTTCATGTACCTATAAAAATTGTTGCTCTGGTTGTTAGGAGGGGCATCGGCCTCGTGGCTTCCGAAGGAGCTCGGCTTTCACCACGAAGCGTCATAATTCTTTTGAATGAAGATGGTTCAAATCGGAGGGCCGAATTTAAATGGTTTGAATTATTTTATCTGGTAAGCTTTTTTTTAGCGAGTTTTCTACGGGATGGGGTCGCTAACCCTATCCCAAACCTTCCTCCTTTACCCGGGCTTGGGACCGGCAGTAACTCTAGAAGAGCTACATGCGGAGTTGATATGATAAATTAAGTATCCATCATTTTAGATTTAGAAAGTGTACTAAATATTGCGCTTCTTTCATTCTATGTAATGAAAGTTTCGATAATTTTTATTATTTATGTTGAAGACGTGTCTAATATATATATATGTATATTTCATAGACACATGTTCTTACTGTTATAACTTACTCTTCTATTAAGTCATTTTTTATTGTATCATGTTTCTCTCACTTTCAAATTGTAAGAAACCTAAAGTGAATTATAAAATTTATTCCAGCCCTATTTGAAGTAATTCATACTATAAATACTAGCGTTACCTTATTCCATTTATGATGAAATTTGGTGTACACTAAGTTAGATAATAAAACGTAAAAAAGCTGTGGTTAAGAAAAAACTTTCTCATTCTACTTTATCGGTAGCTTCCCGATGTTTGATCCCAAAGTCTTAACTCTTGTTTGTCTACGGTTCAATTAAAGCCATCAACTTCACTTAACATTCCTTAGAAAAATGCAAAAACATCGAGTATTTAAATATATTTCACTGACATGATCCAAATCATGAAAACACCATTTTTTTAAACCGGTATTTTTAAGAAGTCTACATCCTGCGTGTAGGACCATAAACTAAAAAAGAACAATCTTATAATTGATTAATCATTGAGCAGTGACTAATGTCATGTTTGTCTATTCTGTTGTCTCTGATCGGATTCTATCTATCTAGTTGCCATGTCAAAATGACTTAACATTGCATCCCTTATTATGAGATGTCAGGTGGTCGGAGGTAGTCAGTAGGATTATTTGGATCTACTTCCTGTACTATCTGGGACCTGTCGCTAAGTCATACCTGCAATCTTAAGGCAAGTGATACTGTCTGGTGGATTCGAACCCATGTCATCCAACTTTACAACCTGAGACGTTAGCATTGAGCTATGCTGACCTCAACTGATTTCCTACGGAACTGAGGTATTTAAAATTGTTCGATGATTGAGCAGTGACTATTCTCATGTTTGCTTAGTGGTTTATTGTTGATCGAATTTTATTGATCAATTCCCCTGCTCTTTAACGATCCATCAACCTATATCAATAACTGAAACTCTCCAATTTAAACAACTTTATGGAATTTTTTTCATGTACTAGTGAGCGTTTTGCTTCAATCTAATTTATTCGATTCTTATAGCTATCGATCAGTGTAACAGTTTATCATCATATACTTTTCCCAATTTTATTTCATTATTTAGACTGTTAGAACTGGTATTTGATTACAATGGACCAACGATTGTCTTTCTCAAAGCTAAAGAATTTTTATTCTGTTTATTGTCTGACCAAGGTTTAAAGTAAGATATTCATAAGTGTAATTTACTTTAAATTTCTCTGAACATTACTTGAATTTCTTTGTAAATATTTGTTACGTAATATACTAACTGGTTTCAGTGTTAGTTATTTTTATTTATGGCGTTAAATGCTGAGCAGTGTGAATATACCGCCATTTTTATACGTATACTTGTTCTTTGTAAATATTAACATTGGCAAACTATTTATATATCTTCCTAAATGTTTATCTGTTTCAACTCTAGCACAAGGCCTTTACTTCTCTTTGTGCTTTTCAAGAGAATAACCTCTTATATTATCTTATCGAGTAGTTCAGTCAATTCTCGTTATTAATTCAGAATTTTTTAATAGAGAAAGTGGTTTCAAGTTTAGACTATAATTTGAGTGAGTAGACTGTGTGTATATATATGTGTTAACTATACTACTCTCAATGAAGTTAGCAATACCCATTCATTCTTATTAAGTTTGGTTTAAACACATTTTCCCAAAATAAAAACATATCTTTTCGAAACATCCCAGGAACACAAATTCTAAAGTAAGATTTTAAATAATACAGTCATTATTATTTCTCATACATTTCTTTGTTTTTACACTTCCAAAAGAAACTGATGAAGATTATTTATGCAAACACATGTTATTCAGTCAAAATTGTTTAATCGACATCCATTGTTTTCCATCGAAAACAATTTTTAAGACAATAACACTCTGAAGTAACTATTTCCGAGGTTATTTTAGATTGTTATTTAAATATATGACAAAAAAATTCCCGTCTAATTAATTACATCGAATGCTGATTGTAAATCTGCAACAAATAATGAATGTAGCTAATGGTTTCTATGCAGTTTAATAAACTTAGATAAATTACAAAGTGGTTTAATTTTTCTTTTCTGTTATATAGAGAATCATTAAAAACGTTTGGCAAAGAGTATTCATTTCTCTATCAGATTCAACCGAAATTTATTCGACTTGTATGTAAGTGTATGTACATTTTCCAACAAACTTTTTAAACAATTTTTATCTTACTGAAATTCATAATGCTTCGCTAGGTTAATTGATCGGTTTGACGAAATCAAATTGAAGCATACTTGGAATTCTTCAATAGCAAACAGAATATTCAGCAAGCATTCGACTTAATCGTGTTTTCATACACATAGTTCTCTTTGTTCTTGCTCTCTTTAATCGTGTTTATTTACCTGTTACAACCCGAGTAGTTTATTTTGCTAGAACACGTGTATACCGTGAAAACTTGGTAATTTCTAACCGAGTTACCATAGATCGTCATCAACAATTAGTAGTTTTGGATCACTGGACATCTATATCGTTTTAATTTTTAAAACGTGAACTACCAGATTTTCATTCAGTATTATAAAGGTAATACGCTCGCCACTAGTCCTAAATATTCTAGGTTCGATCTCTGGCGAAGATATAGACGCACGTTTACGATCCTCATATAAGGGTGATACATTTGTTCAGCCCCTCGCGTTTTCAGTGGTGGTCCATCAGTTTGTGATGTAAACTATTTCCAATTAAAATGAGTAATTTAATATATTATTATTATTAGAAGCTTTATTCAACATTATATTTTTGGTACAACATAGAATTCTCAGCATAAAGTATTTCAACAAGTTTCCTTTTCTTATACCTTGATCGATTGTGACGATAAATTTTGAATGATGACCAGTTAGATGTTAGGAGTTCGGTTATCCACATTTGATTAATGTTCATTCGTTTCAATGCATATTGCCGGCCACCTTGATGTCGCTGATTGTACCTTTTTGTATCACGTATAGCGAAAGGTTGTAAACTTTTCATAAACGCGCCTGAATAGATTGTGTGCACAATAGACATAATGATGTGCTAAAACAAACAATAAAACAGATAACTTGATGAAATATCTAGATCGGAGGAACACGTAGCCCAGATATTCAAGCAGGCCGCCTTGTATGGATTACAATGAATGGAATGAATAAATATCAACTAATAACAACCATTTCGCTTCATTTTAAGTGCAATTCCCAACTAATTATGTTACTATGCTCAAACCAAAATTCCAGATTTTTTCCATCAAAGACCCTATGATGTCAACAAATAAAAGCTATTTCTCGTGGCCAATTAACTGAAAGTTAATAAAACCTTAGAATTAATGTTACCGCTTATGCAGTTTCGTTATCACAAGACCACCCATTATTACTTAAGAAGCAACTTTTCAGAATATGATTATTTTCACTTCAATACATTCCAAAGAGGATTACTTCAGTGCAGGTGGATTGTCCAAAATTTATAAGTTATTTGACATCAACTAACATACATTTACTAGGTTATCGTCTTATCAAACACTCACACAGACTAGCTTCGTGAGGGAATTCTCGGAGTTCTAGCGAGAAGCCGTGACCAGTGGAGCTAATCTGTGTCGAGTAGAGACAGGTATCTACCTCAGTACAATGGAAGATGGTCGCGCAATTTCGTGGATTGGTTGAGATTAGACACTAACACCGTTGGATGCCAACTCAGTAGTCTAGAGGTTAAGTGTTCGCACGCGAGACTGAAGACCCTGAGTCCGAATTCCGCGAGCGGGATCGTGGATGCGCACTGCTGAGGAGTCCCAAAACAGGACGAAACGGCCGTTCAGTGCTTCCAGGTTTTCAATGGTGGTCTAACATCAATCAGTCCATGATCTAACTTCACTATTTCTCCATTTCCTTAAATTCATTATCCATCCATTCTTTACGATGCAACAAGACTTACATGATCTAATTGTCATGACTTGTTACCCCATTAATTTATCACGTGATAAGATCGCTAATAGACACCGACTTATACGACCAGACCAATAACGCATAAACGTGTACGAGCAACCTACGGTTCCTGTTGGTCCTCTGAGATAGTAGCTTCTCCCTTAACCCATCATGTTCGGTCCAGAACGCCAAAATCAGCCTCCACTATACGAATCATAAATTTCGGACATACTTGGTTTATATACGTACAAACTAGATAGCATCATACCATAAAATAGAAAATAACAATTACACAAGACCAAGTCAAAGTGGCTGTGGTTGTGAGAGGCTGTGATTAATAGATTGAGAATAGTAAATCATATAACAGTAACCAATAGGTCGAATGAAAGATAATAATAAAAGGACTATAAATATACAAATAATATAGTTACTTAATAGTTATGCCTTGTGGATCAGACCTTCAGGTCGAAGGCTCGGGGAGTGGCCCCCTAGGAAAACCACCTGCTTCGGTTTGGGCACCCGGGCAGTATTACAGCCTTCACACATATCGAATGAGATTTGTGTGGTGCATATGTATTTGGTGCCTATTTGTACCAATATCTATGTGTTGAAATAATAAGAATATACGTAATAATTCTTAACAGTTACCATTCGCTTGTTCTTCGTTAGGACATAACACGAATAAATTATTTTATATAAGTAATATCTACTAAAACAAAGCTTTTAACTTGTTTAATTGACTTTTAGTGACAGGTATGTGTTCTGATGTATTTTCATTAAAATCGAGTATTATTTAAAAATAGCTGAGATACAGTTTATTAGGAATCCAAGCTGATGATCACGTAAGCATTACTGACTGTAAAAATGGTAGATTGTTTTTATCTTCATTTGATGTTCCGTATAAATATTCCCGTCTTTTATTTATCTTCTGCTTTTTTCCTCTCTGTATCAACCGTTACTTTTTCTTTCTTATATTTTAAAAGCTGGTAAATTAGGCACAGATTCGGGGATATTTTATGCAAATTTTACTTCGAAAACATCAAAACGTGGTCTTTTTGTGGGGCACCAACCACTGATATCGCCTGTAATCGAAATAAATGAAGATTTTACTGAGTTGAAATATAATTCTGGTCTACCAATACGTTTAAATGCAATCGAAGTTTGGGCAGCTGGTTCCAGTGATCACATGTCTAAATTAGAAGATCAAAAGAAATGGGAATCTGATCAGGTATCCTATTTTAACCGAGCGTGTTAGCTATATGAACCATTTAGATACATAATATAACACTTTAGATAACAGGACAGACACCGTTAAGCTACCTTGTTAAATAGTAATGATAAAGGAATAGCACTGACCACGATTGTCATAGCTTAATATTTTGAGTTTGCTATGAACATAACCACCTGCTTCGGTCTGGGCACCCGGGCAGTATCACAGCCCACACAAATGGTGAACTGTCTATATTTATGGAAACAACTTTTCTTGCTTCGACTAACAATCAAGTGGTTCAAATTATTATTATTATTATTATTATTATTATTATTATTATTATTATTATTATTATTATTTACTATGTCATTATTCATCCTCTTCCATTCCTACTCTGTCTTTACTTATTTTTTCGACTTATACAGCAGCTCGCCTATGGTGGAAACTTGGTTCTATCTAAACGTTCTCGAGTCACTGCCTGGTTGAAAATTGTGTGCTACCACCAAATACGAATACTGAAGCAGTTTTTCTGAAACAACGTGCACCATTCAAACTGGCTGCCTTCAACGTTCGCACACTTATGCAGGTCGGACAACAGATGGGGTTGGTTATGTCTTTGGAAAGTCTTAATATCGATGTTTGTTGTTTATACGAGACTGGTGAGGTACTACAAATTCGCTCTCCATCTGCTGCTTCAAAAGGCTTGTCTTACGTGCGTTTATCCGGGGACCCTGTGTTATCTTCGTCTGGTCTTGCTGGTGTTGGTGTCGCACTAAGTGCTAGGGCTGAGGCAGCACTAATCGATTGGATCCCCATTAGCAGTCAGTTATGTGATGTTAGATTAGAAAGTTCCATCAAAGTGAGAAGAAATCGGCGTGAGAAACGATGTCTTTTCGTCATCTCCGCCTATGCCCGACAGATTGCAGCCTGGATGCAATCAAGGATGAGTTTTACCACCAGTTATCTGTTTTTCTCCAGAAAGTGCGTTCGACAGATATTGTAGTACTAGCCGAAGACTTGAATGCTCAGGTCGGACATCTAGGCACAGAAGAGAGTCGTTTAGGTGGTCGATGGGGACTTGTTGGTCGCAGGTCAGATAACGGGGACCGTCTACTGCAAATATGCACAGGCCACAACCTGTTTCTGGCTAGCACTAACTTTCGGCACAGTCATCGCCGATGTGCCACCTGGCGTCCTCCCTCTGCATCTCAAGCCTGGACTCAGATTGATCACATCGCGATCAGCTACCGCTGGCGTGGTTGTGTACAAGACTGTCGCTCCTTTTGGAGTACCTATCTGGACTCTGACCATGCCTTGGTCTGCGCCAATCTTGCCTTACTTTTCAGTGGACAACGAAGTGAACGCCATCAACGGATTGATGTTAGCAAGCTGGTTGCAACTTCTGTTGCAAGTAAGTATCGAACCGAGCTAGCCTCTAGGCTAGCTACCATTCCACCGAAAAGTACAGATGAGCATTGGTTGCAATTGCATGACGCCATGAAAATGGCGGGAACAGTCAGTTGTGGGTTTGCGAAACGTCCCGCTTTTAAGCACTGAGTTTCTTCTGGTTCCTTACAACTCATTGAAGCCCGTCGGTCTACTCCGGGTGACCGTGAGTTTGACCACAAACGAAGGATGTTACGTAATGAAATTGGGCAAAGCTTGCGTAAGGACCGAGAAGCCTGGTGGTCGAAGCGTGCTAATGAGCTGGAAGCAGCAGCTGCATCTGGTAACTACCGGAAGCTCATCCGAGCCACTGGCAGCAAGAAGTCTGGTGTGAGCGAAGCCATCTGCGAGAATGACGGGATGCCAATCACTAACATCCATTGACATCTTGGACGATAGGCAGAATTCTTCGAAGGGCAGTTCAACCGACCTGATGCCCCAGGAACATTGGTCAGACTGTCCTGCCCTCCATGGCCGGTGACGACTGATCCACCAAATGAGGCGGAAGTCCGCAAGGAACTCCAACTCTTGAAGCGTTACAAATCACCTGGCCCAGATGACTTACCTCCGGTTCTTTTTAAAGATGGTGGTGACCTTCTGATTAAGGAACTGACGACGTTGTTTACAAAGGTTTGGGAACTAGAGAGTGTACCAACGTCATGGAATGAGTCGATAGTTGTCCCTATCTTTAAAAAGGGTTCACGTCGTTCTTGTAACAACTATCGGGGGATAAGTCTACTTCCGATTGCCTCCAAGCTATTGACTTCCGTCATACTTCGCAGGTTGTTCAAAAGATTGACTGGCGAGGAGCAGGCTGGTTTTCGTTCTGGTCGAGAATGTATTGATCATATCTTCACACAGAGTGGGGGCTAGAGAGGCTGATAACAAACTGGACCATCTTTGGCGCCTTCGTAATGTTAGTCTGGATGTAAAAGGTCCGATCTACAAGGCCTCGTTGAGAGCAGTTTTGCTCTATGCTTGTGAAACCTGGCCTCTCCGAGTTGAGGACGTTAGACGACTCTCTGTGTTCGATCGTCGTTGTCTCCGAAGGATTGCTGACATCCAGTGGCCACACCATGTTAGTAATGCAGAGGTTCGGCATCGTGTGTTCGGGCACAGAGATGATAACTCAATTGGTGTCACCATCTTGAAACACCGACTTCGGTGGCTTGGACATGCTCTACGAATGTCGTCCCAGAGAATTCGACGTCATGCATTATTTGCCGACGCTGGGGTTGGTTGGAAAAAGCGGAGAGATGGTCAGTGTATGACATGGTGTCGTGGCATGAAAGAAAGCTGCAAAGGACTGGCTTGTGTTGGTCCTTCACGACTCCCTGGTTGGGGTCTGAGAGATGGTGCTACACAGTGGCTAGAGACGTTATCAGATATAGATTAGAATAGAAGCCAGTGGCGATCCTGCTGTAACCTTTCTTTACTTTCTTCGTAAAAAGTGGTTGTGTCTCCCTTAACTGACAGATTTCTTCTGATTGTACCTTTCCGTTCCCTCATTATTACTATTATTATTATTACACTACCTTACACCAACCTCTTCGTTATTGTTCTCTTTTTTTTCACGCTCCTTACCTTTTTTTATTTCTCTTCGAATTCTCATTGTTTTGTGTGGCGCATATATATTTGGCGCACTCTTGTACCAATATTTATGAGTTCAAATAAATAAATGAACATGTTCAAGTTCTTTAATAATTAAATTAAGTGCTAATTGATGCGGTGTGGTCAGTGGATAATTGGCCACAAATACCTACTATTAACCCAAGCTTTCAAATGAACTGATATTAGATGACAACACAATTGACCAATAGACAAGTTTTTCAACGAAACGACACTTAAAGGGAAGACATTAACACAAACATAAATTAAATTTGATTCGAAACATTGTAAAATATGGGCTATATCGATACTTGAGCTAATCTAACTTGTGAGTGATTATACAATTATAGTGTAGACAGTAATTTCCTACAGATGTAATTCTAAACTATTCCCTAGACTGTCGAGCACAGAGTCTTAGCTTAGCCAAAGTCAAAACAAGTAAGCTATTTGGTTAGATAAACTTTATTTGTTTCTTAAACGTAAATTAACACTATTGGTATACAAAATAAACAATTAATACAGTCTACTAAAAAGGGAATCGAGAGACAAATAACACACGGAACAGTAACTAGAGCATAGGAAAAATGAGTCAACGAACCTAATATCGTTCATAATAAATATAAATTTATGATTGGTGAATAAGCAAAACATAGTCAAGGTCAAAATAAGTTAACGTGGTGGTGGGTGTATCGTGTTATCATTGGTGGGTTCATCCATCCATCACACTTTACGTATATAGGTGATTTTACGATACTTAATTTGATAGATTAAAAATAAAAGTGGTCGTAACTGATTATTCAGTTGGCTAAGTGTGTAGACAGTTCAACCAGATCTCTGTAGAATCTAAACTGTACATGGATATAACTAACGTCATGTGAAAGGAGTTAGTTATCCATTCATATATTGGCATCTTTTATTTAAGTCATTTGTGTCTCAAAGAGATACAGTACTATCTACATCATTACAAAAATCTCAGTGAATAAGAGGAACCTTCATTAATGCTCACTAACTACTGTGTAAATGAATTCATTGAAATGCAAATTAGTCAATTAAGAGTAGAGTATACAAGCTATCAAATTACTTGTTGCTTTTTTTCTTACACTGCTTGTATAGTTTTACTTGAAGTTTTTTGTACGTTTACTGTTTGTGGTAACATTTAAACTAAGTTTGCACAAATCAAAATCTCAACGTTATTGTTTCACCAAAGTTCACATAATTAAGTCACGTCATAAAACTAAGTAAACAAAGCAACGATTCTAATTAAACATTGGAATAATTTCATTTCAACTAAATATCATCAAAGCTCCTCACTACAGTTTATGGTGCACAAATGATGAACTCTTTATGTCTATGGAAATTACTTTTGTCGCTTTGAAAAACAAACAATTGATTCAGATTATTATCATTACAATTATTGTCATTATTAATACTAATATTGTTATTACTACTATTATTGTCATTATTGTTATTATTATCATTATTATTATTATTTTCCACATTATTCACCCTCTTTTATACTTATACAGCGGCTCGTCTTTGGTGGAATTCCGACTGTATCTAAACGTTCTCAAGTCACTGTCCGGTTGAAAATTGTATGTTACCACCGAATACGAGGACTGAAGCAGATTTTCTGAAACCACGTGCACCATTCAAACTGGCTGCCTTCAACGTTCGCACATTTATGCAGGTCGGACAACAGATAGGGCTGGCTATGTCTTTGGAAAGTCTTAATATCGACGTGTGTTGTCTATCCGAGACCCGTATTCAAGACTCTGGCGAAGTACTACAAATTCGATCTCCATCTGTCGCTTCGAAAAGCTTGTTTTACGTGCGCTTATCCGGGGACCCTGTGGCATCTTCGTCTGGTCTTGCTGGCGTTGGTGTCGCACTAAGCGCTAGAGCTGAGGCAGCACTAGTCGATTGGATCCCCATTAACAGTCGGTTATGTGCTGTTAGATTAGAAA